ATTCTCGTATGAGCCTGGGAGAGCTATCAATGTCTTCAATAAGATAACTATTTGTTCGTAGCCTAGATCATTCAAGCTCTCCCCTGTTGAGTTCAAATAATTTTTTTTTATTTTTTTAAAAAAAATGAACATACATATATAAGAATTAATTAGCTAACCAAAAATTTTAGAATATTTATTATTGACCTTATCTCCTTCCTAATTTTTTAGTTAAGCTCCTTCAATTTCTGCAAGTGCGCCTGCACAAATTTACCACAACAACAAAAAAAAGCCATGAAAATCATCAATTTTATTTACTCTCTAAGAGAATATAATTACCAAACATTTATAGACACGTTAATTAATTAATTAACTGTTACAAAAAATAAGAAAATAAAAAGGCAACTTCGTAGTGTGAGTCCCATAGATCCACCCCAACTGCCTTCTGGTATTGATAAAAAACTTGTTTTGTCCTTAAAAAAACATAAATCAAAAAAATTATTAGAATTTTATGCATAACATTCACAATCATCTAAATCATTATGTTCAAAAACTCATGATAATGTCAAAATCATGCTAACTACAAAACAAATGCGAGAAAGTAATTAACCGCATCTTCTATAAGGAAACCATTCAACCACTTTATGAGAGTTCCTGATTCCAATGATAATTGCCTGACAGAGAACGAAAAAGGTAATGCTCCCTTGGCCAGCCCGGGGGAGATGAAAATCATGAAACTCTTCACCTTTTTCTTCCTTAGAAACAAATTTTGCAAGGCAGCAACAATAAAGAAACAATTCATTAACCATAACCCCATGATAGCATCAGAAAACTTGCAAAAATGCAAGTAATGTGAATATACAAACTCACATGAGATGACCCAACCATCAAATGTGGCGGGATTGAGACCTCCTTGGATTCTTGTTTGGTCTTACTTCCTTTACCACGTAACTGAACCCACATAACACGAAAATTTGTGCCACCAAGATCTAATGCATAAAACAATAGCTTTTTCATCCATGTACAGACACAAAGGTAAACTAAATCTAAAACAAAACAAGAAAAATCGAAATATTCAGATACTATGGCCAAATTAGAAAATCCCCAAAAACATAAAACCACAAAGAGTTCAAAAAATATTTGTTCTATTGCGCCAATGTTTAAAGCACAGATCTAAAGAAAAATAGCCAAATTAACACGAAGCTAGTACCTAAAGTTTCTTCCACCGACCTACGTCACTAAATTTGGTCTCGCACACTAAACTGTGATTGAAAAACGCTGCTGAAAAAGTATCGACGTTCGGAAAAAATGAGGGCCAACCATTTCTCTTTCGATCGAAAGCTGCACAAATGCCTTGAAAATTGTTAAACGAACAGATTGTGAATTCAAAATGTAAAAATAACCTCGATGGCGAGATTTTCAAGGACGGCTGAGATAAAAACAGGAGCGCCTATATACCTGTTTTCAGAAAAGGTGAAATTCAACCGACTGAAAAATCTCAGAAAACACGTTTCATCTCTTCCCCTAACCTAAAGTCTGCCGTCGTTCGCGGCGGTGCATCCTACGCCCGCCTCCCACCC